AGCAGAGGCCTTAGGATAAACCTGAAGGATATTCTAGAAGAGTCTGGTACATCTCCCTTTCCTTGCCTTTCTGACACTTCAGAGGCTGTGCCAGGGGCTGGTGCTCCCCAGGTGTGCTCTAATTGACCCACACCTGCTGATTGCTCCCACCTCACTAAGTTCCAACCCCTTCCCTTAGTCATTTGCTGTTAAAATCAAATCCTCTCAGATGCCTTGTAGGCATCTCAAACCAAACTTCTCCCTCTAAGCCAGCTCCTCCCAAGTTCTTCCCATCTCATTCAGGAACACTTTTATTTTGAAACCACCTCTCTTTTTTCCTTTTTACATTCCATGTCTGGTTGATCTGTCAGTTTTGCTGGCTGTACCTCCAAAATATGTCTCCCATCTTCCGCTCATCTCCACACCTCCACTCTGATCAATAGAAGCAGCCTCTGAAAGGGTCTCCCTCCTTCTATCCCAGTCACACAGATCCTTTTAGAATAAGCCAAATGATGTCACCACTTGGACTACATCCTTTCTAAGGCTTTTTCTCATAATACACAGACCCAAACTCCAAGTTTTTAGGATCACCTGCCAGATCAAATATAAGCTGGCTTCATTCCTGTTACTTCTCAGATCTCGTGTGGATCACTGTTCCAGCCACACCAAGCTTACTTCTGTCCAGGGCCTTCGCACAGGCTCCTCAGCACCCAGTGACGTCTTTCCTGACCATCTCAAGCACTCACCTACTGTCCATTCCTTCACGGTACTTCGCTGCTTTCTCTCTAAGACACTTACTAGTCACTTAAAATGTTTCTTAATATTTCTTTAGTAACCAACTCTGACATGAGAATGAAGCTTGTCAACATTGTCCCAGATCCTAGACTAGCAAATAAAAGCCCAGATTAAATCTTATGTTAAATGACTGATTGAATGGGCCTTAAACTCAGTGCTCTATGTAAAAGTATCAAGGCTGGGTTCTCAATTCAAGTCTTAAACTTAATGCCAGCATTCCACCTACCGTCATCCATATTTTCCTGTTTTATGAAGAAACGCCTCAACTCCTGGATAAGCCTGAAAGATTCCTGGGTTCCCAGGCCTATCCCCCCTTGCCTCCTTCAAGACCGCCTTCTGTTACTTTTTCTTCTATCACCTCCTTCTCCTGCCTCCATCTTCAGCTCCCCCACACCTTGTCCTCTACCTAGAAACTCACACTTATTATTACAATTTCCAATGTCTTGGTCCTTACCTTAACAGTCACTCTGTCCCCTTTTATCATAAAACTACTCCAAAGAGTAGCTGTCAAGCTGTCATCACGCCCCTCCCGCTCCCTCACCAATCCCTCATGGTCTGGCTTCAGTCACTAGCACCCAGCTGAAAATATGCCTTTGAAAATCCTCAGACACCTAATTGGCCATCCCAACAGGTTTATCTCCACCTCCCCCACTCCATGATCTCTCTAAAGTCACGTTGCCACCCCTGCCCCTTCTCCTTGAAGTCCTTTACCATCTCGACTTGGAATGACACATAGCATCACACTCCTGTCACCACCCAGAGCACTCGTACTCTGTCCCCCTATGCCTCTGTTGCCCCCCGGCCATTCTCCTCTAAGTTCTCTCTTTTCATGTCTATGACACACACCTCATCCATGTTCATACCATTAACTTCCACCCTTGGGAGAAGATTCTAGAATCTACAGCTTTCCCATGCACATATACCTGGAGAGCCTCCACCACCCCAGACTCAAGATAGACAGAATCCTGCAATTTCTTCCTCTGCAACATCAGCCCTTCCTGTGCACAAAGCCTTGGACAACCCTCAATATCCCTCTCCCCTACCATAGCTAGTCCATTTATGAGCACATTGGTTCTGATCCCTTAGTATCCATGGTATCATCTGGTCTCTTCCAAGCCCAAGGTCAGCACTCTAATCTAGGGCTCCATCACCAAGGTTATCTGTTTAGCGCCTAGCATCTTCCAGCTCAAAGTCACTTCTGCTTTGCTGCCTTCCTGCCCAGACCTACTAGCTATATCTGCCAAACTACAGCTCTAACCATGGCTTATTCTCCCAACTAAACCACTTATGATTTCTGAAATCACTGCTCGGTACCCAAGATGTTCAACCTGGAATTTAAGACCACCCTGAGACATGATGCCAGCTGTTCTTCCTGAGTGTCTGTCTCATGCCTACATTGCCCCTCTCTATCCACTTCCTGTTCTGCAAACATGCCCTACGCCCCACCATGAACCCACTCTCCCCAGGGACCTTGCTCACTTTCAAAACTGTATTCCTCTGCCTTGGCTGAGCTACATCCCACACTCCATCAGCTACTACATGTCCAATGTACTAGTCAGCAATGGTCTCTCCATTTCTCTCTCATGGAATTTTTCCACAACTCTCAATATAAATGACTTTACCTTAAAGTTCTGGTTCTTTCATCTCTCCTAAACTTGACTCTTAAAGGATAAGATGGGCATCAGCCTTCTAACATGCACTGAAATATCACCCTCTAGAGACATCTGATATAGATCCAATCACAAAATCAGTAGCATAAGATACCTCAGTTGGACAGACCCCAGCTCAGACTCTTGTTTCTTTTTCTTGTCTTATTGCACTGGCTGGGATATCTAATACAATGTTAGACAACAATGGTAATAGTAGGAATTTTTGTTTGTGCTAAAAGTTTCAAGTACCTGCGTTTTCAGGTTTCAAGGAAACTGTCACTATATTTTCTGAGATTTAAGCTGAAAGAAGACAGGGGGGATGGCTAGATCCTAACAGAATCAATAAGGACATGGTACTGAGACCTGGAGACCAACCAGGGAGGGAAAAGGACTGAGACAAAATCCGGTAGAAACCAGGTCAAGCCAGTGGCCATAAGGAGGCTGTCCCTCAGATCTGAGCTTCCCAGGTAACTCATATGGATACCTATGTTCTAGCTTATTGCAGTAGTATGTAGAACAGGGGAAAGAGAGAAAGTGCTGGAAGTCTATTCTCCCTGGCTCCCAGAATGTTCTACACATCAATCCTTCCTGTGCTTTTTATCTACACAAGCAATGAAAAGTCACTAAAGGGTTGCCACAAAAATTGTGCAAGCAGAATCTGCCGACATAAGAAATTCTGTTCATAATGGGCCATGGACCAAATAGGGAAGTTCATAGCCTAGGGGACCAGACACAATTGTCTCCTCAGTGAAGCTCATTCTGTCTCCTGGCTGAATCACTCATAGTTGGTGGAGGTCGGTAACAGGGTTGGGAACAGGGACATGGTGCCAACAATATCCTTCCTCCCTGTAACATCATGGCAGCCAACACCTGAGTAGCTGCAGAACACAGAAGCTGACAGGGGAGCCCTCCGCAGCAGGGAGAGAAGGCTGAGGAGAGACACAAAATGGTCCTCCTTCCAGGGCCATCAGTGCAGGTCTTCCTCTTGGGCCAGCTACAAAATGGGGTGCTGAAAGGAGAACCTGCCTCCTCCCTCAGAAGTCCCTTGGATCTGAGCATCCTTCCACTGGAGTGCCACTGTTCTGAAGCACCCTGACACTACTCTGTGAAACATTGGGAGAACTATCACCCATCTGGGAACTTGGGTGGCCCCTCCTCTCCTCAATAAAGCTGGTAGGAGATGGGCTTCTGCTGACAGTCTAAGCAGGGAAGCCTAACTCAGGCTCCCATATGTGGTAGGAAGCAGAAGTCAGAGCCCTATCTGGACCACCCCACAGAGCATTTTCTCCTTGCAGGTCACAGGGTTGCACACACCCTGGGCAGGGAGGGGAGGCCCCAACTGCCACTTTCCATGGTACAAATACTTCCACTGTGGCATATTGCAATCTTCCAAGAGTGGAAGTGGGGGTTCCCCACTCTGAAGTACTGGATCAGGGCACCCCTGCCTCCACACCAAAGCCAAAAACCAACTAGCTGTCCGAGTTCCAAACCTACATCCATCCCAGGGAAGGTGTCTCATCCTGCCATGCAGCTGGCATGGTGACTCAGCTGCCCCTAAATTTAGGAAAAGGGTGGAGGGCAGAACCAGCTGCCCAGCCTCTTCACCATGAGCTGTCCCCACCCTGACAGCAGAAAGGCTGAGTACAAGGCCCACCTCACCCCATAATCTCTAGATCTCCCCTGCCTGGGCTTCACCCGACATCCAAACTAGCCTATAGATTTCCTGCCCATTTTGACTACCAGTGAAATTGTCACAGACCAAGGCTGCAGAGAAAGGTATCCCCAAGGTTGTTCCTCCCAACACAGTTCCTGACGCCAGCTCTTTCCTGGCCTGCGTGCCCTTTCTAAGTGTCTCTCTGGAGTCTTTCTGGTAGGAAAAAGAGCTTTACCACATATACAGAGCAGCTGGTGTTAGCAATAACTAACAGGGAGGTCAGCTGACCAAAAAGGAGACCTGAGCCTAGACAACAACAAAACTCCTGAAGGCACCACCACAGTGGCCATCAGGCAGAGCCCCTGTGTTTCAGGACACTCACAAGCCTTCTAGGAAGATCTTATAGGGAAATAAAACCCAAAGACCTCCCTCTAGCCTTCTCTATGCCTGTCCCAAGGGCCTGAACTCTGACAGTGAGCATGGTGGCAGCTGCAGAATATCCTCTCTGCTTGAAGCATCTAGTCAAAGTCACTGCCTCCAGGAAGCCTTCTCTGATTGCCTTAGCTGGTAAGCTCTGTTCTGGAACCTTGGTCCTACTCTATCACAGCACAATTTTTACTTTCTTAGAACTAACTATATATCTGTTCTCTGACTAACCCACAAATTCTTCAAGGGGAGGCACTGATAGATACTGATCTTTGAGTCTCAGTACCTGGTTTGGTGCCTAATAGATGATGTATACAGGAAGGGATGGCTAGGTGCACAATCCTAAGACCTCCCCAGGCTGGAACAATGTTGTCAAAAGCTCCTAGTCTCTGCTGTGCTGGCCTCTCCCTCAACTTCAGCAGGACCACCGAGATCAAATAGGGTAGAAGGGGAAGAGGGAGGCGTTGCCCAATTCTTGTGGTCCCCAAGGCTGTTACCTGCTACCCGGTGGGCCACCAGCCCTTCCAGGTTCAGCGGCTCTTCCTCTGGAGTTTTGGAGGGGTCTGAAGTTGTTTCCTTTGGTGGGAGCTGAGGCTGAGCCATGAGGCCAGGGAGAGAGGCTGGGGGCTGCTGAGGCCCTGCAGGGCCATGGGCACTTGGAAGGAAGGTAGAAGATGCTGGGCTCTTTGAACGGAAACCCTGGCTGGATCCAGCCGAATGTGGCTGATGATCATAAGGTGAATAAGACCTGCCAGGAGCAACCAGCTCTGGGGTTCCCAGGGAATGCCCACTGGGGATATAGCCAGATCTGGACTGGGTCAGTGGGTGGGACTGCCGTGAAGAGCCCAAGAGGGGCTGGGAGGAGAGTGGGGAAGCCCCTGGCCAGGCCCCAGGGACACTCTGGGATTTGTGCAGTGGGGCAGCAGCTGAGGTTGGCTCCAGGTCTAGCATCAGCATGTTAAGGGCTTCAATAGATTGCTCAATCTCCTGCTGAGAGGCTGCCCTTGGGAATTCAGGAAGAGCAGGGATGGGGGACTCAGCTGACAGCTGGGGGCTAGGCCTGTTGCTGGTAAGACTCTCCAGCGGGGCTCTCTCTTGCTGGCGAGAAAGTGAGCGAGGCTGCTGCTGCCATGAATTCAGCCCCCTCTGTACAGCCTCTCGGCTGCTGCCTCCACGAGCTGGAGCTTGGGGCAGCTGAGGCTCCACATCTGGAAAGGACTGTGAGCGGAACAGACCACTGGGGTCATAGCCACAGTGGGAGCTAGTCACTGGCTGGGACCAGGCTGGGTGGGGCCCCTCACGCTGGTAGCCAGCTAAACCCTCCTGTGCAGAGTAGGAGGGCTGCATGGGGACTGTGTGGCTGGTGTGGACAGGCACCACCCGGCTGGCAGACTCATAGGGGTAGGCCCCACCGTTGACCAGAGGTTCAGTTGGGTAGGACTTGTCCAGACCGTTGGTCAGTGGGGACAGGGCCTCTGGGTAGCCTCCTTCGCTGGTGTTGGTGACCCCGTCCAGTGAGGACAGTGTGCCCATGCTGCCCCCACTCTGTCCATCCTGGATGGGCAGCTCATCATCTAGAATGTCTGTCTCCCGTTCCGATGCCAGGACCCCACCGTTGACATGAACCTGGGCTGGGACAACGTGGCGGCCAGGAGAGGACACAGCCGGGCTCCCCACCGGGTGGGACCGGAGTTGCTGTGCACGGTACATGGCGCCTTGCTTCTCTCGATCTACACCAAAGCCGCTTAACAGGCGATCCAGCTCCTGCTTTTCCTGGGGACTCAGGGCAGCAGGGGCAGAGGTGGCCCCGGAGACAGGGTCATCAGTCTTGTCTGTCTTGGTGGAAGCTGTGGAGTTACCCGAATCACTGCTCACAGATAGAGTATGCTCCACGTGGTTGGGAGTGGCCGAAAGGGCAGGCCGTGCAATGGTGATAGGCCCAGCGCTGCCGTTCAGGGAATCCTTCTTCTTCACTTTGGCATACAGGCTCCCATCCAGTGGCCCTTGAGTGTGACCCACCACCTCTGCAAGGATAGCAAGAGAGACAGCAGGCAGCAGATGTCAGCAGGAGGCAGGGGCACCAAAAAAGGAACTATGGGCTCCCCCTCCCTGAACCCCAAAATTCTTCTCACTACCCCAAGTATGGAAAAGGTGAGATACTGCCTAGGCTTTGAGGCAACAAAACCTCATCAACACCCAACTTCTGGTCAGGCAGCACAGTCTGGGATTGAGCAGACTGACGCAGGCCAATGCCGAGCTGTGGTACATCACCAGCTTCCTGACCACAGAAGCACAAGTTACTCCCTGGGCTTTAGTGTCCTTCTTTATAAAATGGGGGCAAGGGGCTAGGGAGATGGCTTTGTAGATAAAATGAGAACCTGAGTTCAATCCCCAGCAGCCAGTTTTTTAGAAAATGCCAGAGACAGATGAATCACTAGGACTAACTGGTGAGCCAGTCTAGCCTAATCAAATCAGCAAGCTCCAAGTTCAATGAGAGACCCTGTCTCAAAAAAATAGAGATTGAGAAAGACAGTTGACCACTGCCCCCCCACATGAACACACATGCACAAAAATAATACTAAAATTGAGACAGTAACAGAATCAGGTTAAATCATCCATGGCAACCTCTATTCACTGAATGCAAGATGCCTCAAACTGAAAGGAGATGACATATGTATGCTGAGCCCTGTGCTGGTACGTGGTAAGATGTCAGCAGGTAGGAGCCATTATTATGAGCACCATTAATTCCTGAAGGGTGACATCCTGAGCCTACTCAGCCCCTCTAGCATCCATTTCAGAAAGCTTTCCCTGTTCCAATTCCTAGAGTCCTGCTCTGGGTTAGAGGCAGCAAGCTATGGGAGGAGGCGTTGCCTGGAACACACATGCAAGGGTAGGCACGGAGACCTAAAGATAACCTGCAAACAGGGAGGCTAAAGAGACTCTGGGAGGATGACAAGAGGGCATGCGGAATGTGGAAATGCAAACACAGAGACTTTGCCATCCCCTGAATTCACATAGGGGAGCTGGGGAGAGGAGGGATACAGGAGACTGACTGTACAGGATCCATCTGTGCTCAAGGTCAGGGGTAGGCTGGGGAAAAGAGGCCGAAGGCAGAGTTGAGGCTGAGACAAACTGACTCTGGCCCTCTGCAGGTCAGTTTAGCTCAATATAAAGAATTTGCTAGAACAGTTCAGACATTTATCCCACCAATTGTCACATTTCCAGAGGTCTCTCTCAATTTCTCCCAGACCACTGTCTGATTCTCACAGAGTCCTAGCCCACCACCAGCAAGATCAATCTAGGCTTCTAAGGAAGAGAGGGAGACCACAGAAACAAGCACCAGGATCCTGGAAGCTCCCTGAAGGACCAGGGTGAAGAGGACTTCAGTAGAGCCAGTATTCCCATGCCAGAGGGAACAAGTTCTGTCCCTGTGGAGTGGAGCAAAGGAATGGTATTTGGGGTGCTGGAGCAGGGGCCCAAGGGCCAGGGCAGTAAGGAAACATCTTAAGGAGTGAGGTTTTCCAGAGTGTCCTTTTGTCTACAGACAGCCCTGGGGACCCTCGGGAGCAACACTTTCTCTGAAAGGAAAAAGTGAGTGCTGAGTGGCTTGGGGCCAAAGGGCTGAGTCAGGAGCAAGGGCTGCCCTACCCCCACCCAAGCAGCTCAATGACTTCATGCCTTGAAGAGTCAGCAGCCAGCAGCGAGCCTCCAGCCCCTACCTACATGCACGCACACACACACACACACACACACACACACACATTGCACACACCCCTGCGCACACACACACACACACACACACACACACACATTGTACACACCCCTGTGCACACGCACACACATGCATACACTGGTACCTCCTCTCTGGCTCTCTAATCCAGCTCCCAGGTGGCAAGAAAAACCCCACTCCTAAAGGCTGCATCAGCTCCAGCCAGGACCCCAGCAGTCACACACAGCCAAACATGAGCCACCAGCGACACACATGCCAGGTAGAAATCAGCCAGTCAGACATACCATGTACATGCATTGGGTGCCCATAAAGAACAGTGAAACATGGAAGGAAAGCAGGGTCTGCTTAAGTGTGTGCAAACATCAGTCACTACTAGTGTGCAAGGCCTGCCTCCAACATGCCAGATACTTCATAAGTGCAGTATTTCTAGCCCAGTCACTCAGGAGGATTGTGCCTCCTGGAAGGACAGAGAAACAGAAGCATGGAGGGAGAGGCAAAAGAATCAATTTGTAGATGTATGATACCTGCTAAGGCCAGGCTTTCAATCAGAACTAATCTCCTTTAAAGACCATGAAATCTGTATTCTGCTACTTATTTTTACATCACTGTATACACACATATACCACACAGAATAAACACACAAAAGGCAGGAATACCCCAAAATAAATATTTAAATTCAAAGCCACAAACATTTCAAGAAATACAAATGATCCTACCATACCCAAGAATCAGCCCTGGGGCCAAAAGTGACAGACACAAAAATAAACCCTCATACAGAAGCCTGTGGCCAAACACCAGTGATCAGGCAACCACAAAATAGGGACGTGTCAATCAGTGCTAGTTTGTATGTGCACACATACCACAGACCAACCAGGTTACATTACTCAAGAACTTGCAGAGATATTGGCTGGGTCATGCACCCCCACTGTCCACCCACGCCATCAGGGCCCATTCATTGAACTCTGCAGAGCTACAACTCTGCCCCCAGTTTTCTCTGACCCTTCAGGACAAGCAGCCAGCCCTATGTGACCCGGCTACAATGCTGCCTGGTGGGCCGGTCTCCCAGAGCTGGAGTCTGGTCTGAACTGAAAAGGTCTGTGCATTGAGAGCGCTGAGTTCCACCAGCCTGTTCTGGACCAGCTTTCTAAATGAGACTAAGGTAAGTTGCATGACTGCCTCACTGTCTTTCCCGCCACTGAATCCAGAGGAACTCAAACATAGAACAGGACACTGCCCTCCGGGCCTGTCTCTCTGAGAATTGGCTCCTTGCTACACCAAAAAGAAAAGCCCCCAGGTGGCTCCTTCCAGAGGGGACAAATACCAAAACCAGGGACCGCCATCTTCTCAGATTCCTGAGGTAGCATCTGGAGGATGGGTCCTGGGGCCAGTGGGCAGGAAGAACTAGCTTTCCTCCCTCTGAGCCTGGGAGGCTGCAGGCCCTCTGTGCAAGCTATACAACAAATGTCAGCACATCCCTCTGGCCAGGGCTCCCCTGAAGACTTCACACAGCCTAGATGGCCTTGCCTCACTGAGATACAGAGACTGTGATTCTCTCTGAGAACATCTGCCCAGAGGTTTGTAAAAGAAGCACTTTCAGCAAGGCGACTTAGAGAGCACCCCCCCCCCCACCAAGACAGGCAGGAACATGCATTGATTCTCACCATCTGACCTCCTGGCCCCTCCTTGCCCCTCTTGGCCAGGCCTCACTCTTCATCGATTTTGAAAATGTCAATATTAAACTTGTTCCGCAATGTAACTTATCCTCAAGTAGGCTACTGTTCACAGCAACATCCAAAACAACTGCCAGGCCACTAAGTCTTAGTAAGAAAATCGAAGAGGTATAAATTATTTAATTAATCCTGTTTGCAAAACGCAAGTGTAAATATCTCTTGCTGTCCTCCAGGAGGGGGCCTGTTGCTCCTTGCTGTCTAGTGCTGGCCACAGGGCCCCACCTTCCAAGTCACCACAGTGCCTTCACTGAGCTGTTTTCCTCTACCTTATAGCAAGGGCAAAATCAAGGACATGCAGACATGCCCAGCCCCCAGCCTGGCTTTGCTGACAGCCCAGTGTGCAGCACAGGACCTGTGGAACACGCACCAGCTTCTTAGGGACACCTCGGTTAATTCTCCCAGCCTCTATCCCAGGGCATACACTTTCCTATTCCCTGGCTACCACAGTCACATTAAGACCTATTTAGCAGGACCACAAGGAGCCGGAACACAAGGCTGGTTTTAATCCATCAGAACAGGAAGGGCAAAAGAGAAAGGCAGACACAGGACATTAGTGGGATCAAGTGGCAGGGAGAGAAGAGGGACTTATGAGGGGTAGAGAGAGGTTAAGGCTCATAAGCTGAAGAGCCACCAGACCAAGATCATCCAACAACACAAGCAGTTTGAGTAAAGCCATCTGAAATAGGAAGGCGTTTGTGACTCAGAGAGGCATGGTATAGAAGGGGGGGGGGGCTGGAAAGGGTCCTGGTCAGGTGACAATGGAAGAGAGAGATAATGATACTAGACACACATGTTGCCATCAACCCAAGGCAGAGAGATCCCAGGTCCCAGACCAGGATGGCCTGGCATCCTCCTGTGTCACAGGAGGTCTCCTGTCCATTTCTCCAGGAAACTGACAAGTCCACAGTGGACTAAGGCCCCATTTGCTCTGTCTGACTGAATCCCTGCTCATCATAGCACTTGCTTGGAGAAGGATCCAGTCCTGGCTGCTGGGCTTGGTTGCACGCACAAAGGGGCCCTTGCTCTACCAGGGCGGGGATCCAGATGGGCGAGTCATGCTTTTGGAAAGATCTGAAGAAAATCCCCAGCTGACTTGGATATAGACCCACTCACTGAAGCTCCCTCCCATGAGCGCCCTATGTGGAGGTGTGTATCCACATAGCGCCCTATGTGGAGGTTGTTCTTGTCCTGGCAGTATAGCACAAGCCAGGACACAGAGCAAGGCGTGTGCATCAGAATACATTCAGAATAGGAGAAAAGAAGTAATGGAGGGTGCTAAGGTTCACTGGTCTTCAGGAAGTTGTTTTCTAATTCAGATGTTCATAAGGACCTCTTCAAGGATTAAGAATGCAGATCCCAGAGCCATACACCCCCTGGGGGCGGGGATTTTCACTGGGAGGCCCTAGCTGGGGCTGAGCCTCAACACTGTAAATTGTTGTCCTGGAGTTTGGGATCTGAGATTTAGATTGGAATGTGGAGCAGGAACATGTCCTTTGTTTAAACATCAGAACAGACAGCTTGCCCGTGAAGAATAAAAGGTTCCGGTTAGGTTGACTTTGAAAAA